ATAAGTTAAATAGGCAGGGCGACAGTATACAGCCTTGCCGAACTCCTTTCTTAAGTTTGAACCAATCAGTGGTTCCGTGTCCAGTTCTCACTGTTGCTTCTTGACCCGCATATAGGTTTTTCAAGAGACAAATAAGATGGTCTGGTACTCCCATTCCTTTAAGAATTTCCCACAATTTGTTGTGATCCACACAATCAAAGGCTTTAGCATAGCCAATGAAGCAGAAGTAGATGTTTTTCTGTAACTCCCTAGCTTTCTCCTTGATCCAATGTATGTTGGCTATTTGATCTCTAGTTCCTCTGCCTCTTTGAAACCCTGCCTGTATTTCTGGTAGTTCTCGGTCCACGTACTGCTGAAGCCTACCTTGTAGGAATTTGAGCATAACTTTGCTAGCGTGTGAAATGAGTGCAATGGTGCGGTAGTTTGAACATCCTTTGGCATTGCCCATCTTTGGGATCGGAATATAAACTGACCTTTTCCAATCCTGTGGCCACTGTTGAGTTTTCCAAATTTGCTGGCATATTGGTGTAGTACTTTTACTGCATCATCTTTTAGGATTTTGAATAGCTCAGCTGGAATATTGTTGTCTCCACTAACTTTGTTGTTGCTCAGGCTTCCTAAGGCCCATTTGACTTCACAGTACTTCAATGTAGACATGCATAAAATTGCTGTTAGGACTCTTTTGATTTCCCCAAAGGGTAATAAAAGCTATCCCCAAGATAGTGAAGTTTAAGGAAGGGAGGAAAATATTCTGTCTCCCGCTACCTTTCACTGCATGGCAGTGTCTTCTTCCCTTGTTATTTGCTATATGACACAGCTTTTGATTAGGATGACAAATTGGCTGGTGTTCTTTGAGGACAAAATGAGGAAAAGTGGAGGGTGGAACTGCAGCGAAGCAGGAGGAGTGGGCACGTGGAGAGGACCCCCTCCCAACCCGACCCCACTCACCAAGGCTTGGCAGCGCCATGGGGGCATCTCGAGATCCCAATGGAAGGGTGGAAAGGATCAGCAATAGGCACGCCTCACCTTTACTTTAGGTCTCTCCCCTCCCCCCCTCATTCTGCCCCTCCGGTAAACTTTCAAGTGCCGCCAAAGCTCCTGCGGCATTCCCAGTAGCTGGTCTGGGAGTGTCGTGAGGTCATAACTCACGTCTCTAATTAACTCACACAGCAGTCGACCATAAAACTAAAGACTTTTATTGCTACTTTCTACAAGATTTACGATGCAACAGATAAGCTCTAACGGGGAGCTCCTAGCAATGCAGTTGCTCCCTCCTTTCTGAAGTATCTGAGGAGCCCACGTGGGATTAGCTTTTCCTGTCACGTCTTTCCGCTCGTGGGTGGAACAAACCTCTGTCCTGTCTTCTCAATTGTTCCAAATGTCGTAAACTCCTCCTAAGTTGAGCATCAGTCAAATTTATTGTTACCTCTTCTTGGTCTCCTGAACTCTGCCCAGCAGCTTCAGAGTCAGGAGGCGGGGGGTGGGGGGCAACTAGTTCAAGCACCTCAGAGTCAGGATGAGGAGAAGCCACCCGTTCAGAAGCCTCATAGTTAGGCTGTGGGGAGGCTATTTGCTCAGTGGTCCCAGAGTCAGGCTGCAGAGGGGCCGTTTGGTTACTGGGCCCCAAGTATAAGTCCCCTTGTTCCAATGCCTGATTCTCACTTTCTCGCAAGTCGACGTCTCTGTCGAGCCATCAGGCACAACAGGGGATGAGGAGGGAGGGAGGGAGGGAGTGTGCGCGCCCAGGCGCAAGCAAGCCTGGCATCCCTGACTTGGGGGTGCTGAACATGAACATGGCTCCTTCTCTCTGTTATTGTGTTTTTCTTTTAAGACAAAAGATGTTAATGTATGAGTTGTTTTTTTCTAAACTAAAACCTCAGTATTCAAGTTTTATTGCAATGTTGGCACTTTGTGATAAATAAGTGGGTTCTGGGTTGCAGTTTGGGCACTCGGTCTCTAAAAGGTTCGCCATCACTGTTCTATACCATCACAGTATATTCTTAACTGAAATAATATAGACGAAGCATTAAGAGTTCCTACCTTCAGCCTAGCTTCCACAGAAGCCTTCTTCCGTGCTTCCCTCCGACGATATTGTTCAACTTTATCCAGTTGGTCTGGCCGCTGGAGCATCCCAGCCACCCTTTGTACAGCTGTTGCAACTGCCTCCCTGCTCGTCTCCTCCATTTTAGAGCAGTCTTAATGCAGATACAGTCATATCTCAAAGGACACTACAGAAATAGTATAATGAAATGTTCAAGCTCATTTTACCCCAAACATCATTTCAGAATATATACAATACAGATATTAGCAATGAAGACAATTTAGTCAAAGTATATGAAACTCAATAGTTCCACAGTAAGTGCCTGTAGCATGGAAACAAGATAGATTATAAATAAAAGATTAATCACTAGGCTTCACTGTTCCATTTAAAATCTACTAAGTGATTATTCAGCTTTAAAACCTAACTGACAGAAAACATTCTGATTCCAGATCAACATTGCTAGGAGTGTCTGAAATATCACAAGGGCTCCCCAAGCAAAGAGGGGTAAAATGTTCAAACCAAGTACAAATCAAAGTAAGGGTCCCTTCAGGTGCATTAGTAGCATACAAATTGAAAAATTAATTAATTAATAGGCACCAGTCCAAGCAAATTCCTCAGCAGGCCAGAAGTACTTGTTCCAGTCTCAGAAGGAGAATGTGTGTAAGCCATGTTACCCTTGCTATAGAAGCAACTAGAGCCTATGCAGGTTCATTACACCAGCCAACTGCAGAAGTCAGTTGGACAATTCAGGAGCAGTACTTTTGAAGTTCTTCTGAAGGGGAAGACAGATGCAACATTCAAGTATGGTGGAAGCAGCTTTTTAAACATACATTTGGTGTACAATGAAGCATTCAAGCAGCAAGTGTGTGTTTATGTAACTAATTTTTTAAAAAAGTGGGTGAGAATGGATGGTTACCACATTTTTCTTCAACTCCGATTTTCAACATGATATGATGCTCAGGTTTATGGCTCAGCTAGTGTACATTCAAAACAAACAATACTTACATGTCTAGTTTCAAGTAAATCTGATGTATTATAACACATGTTTGGTTACTACAACAGCTAGTGTTTTTTCCTTTTCTAATAATCCACCAAAATTTATCCTTCCTAAGAAAACCAGTAAGTGTATTATAAAGTGATGATGTAGTTGTATTACTTAAATATATGTCAATAGGCTTGATCAAAATAGCTGTATAAATATAAATGTACACTGGGACAAGTGAATATAGTAGTTCCCAATACTTTGTGAGTCTGTATTTCCAAGAAATCTTTAAAAATAAATTAAAATCAGGAGGGTCAAAGAATCTGGCTGGTTCACTGGATCCCACCGGCATCACAATGGAGATCCCTGATCTAGTGTGGATGGGCAAACTTTGACCTGTTATAGAAAGTTGCTTCTGCCTCTCAGATATGCAATTATGAGATACATTTATCCTAACCCTAAAGTGATATTCCAGGCATAATGGGAGGAAGTGATGGATTCCATCCTGAAAGTAAGCATAGTATAATCCTGGCAACACAAAAATATAGAATTAATCCCTTATGAGGATAATGCCAATCACCTTTATCTGAGTCAACAAATGATGCATTTTATCTAGTTTTAGAGTACTGAAGATAGTTACAGAAAGGTTAAGGTGTACATGCAATCTGATCTCCTGGTTCCCTACTCTCGCATCTGCTCTGTTCGATTTCATGTATAATAACAAAGAATTTGTGCAATTACAATGTTTAGCAAAGTGTACTGAGCCAAAGAAAAGCAGCTTTCCTTTCTTCTACTTTCTGTGCTAGAAAACCTAGGAACTTAAGAAAAGCCATGCTGGATCAGCCCACTCCATTCACACTGTGGCAAACCAGTTGCTCACAGGATACCTCAAATAGGATGGGTGCAAGAGTACCACTTGTCCAAGTGCCTCAGCAACTGGTGTACACAGGGAGGGCACTTCTGCTAATGAAGGTAGCACACAGTCAGCAAAGCTAGTAGCCACTGATAGCCTTCTCCTTCATGAATTTGTCCTACCCCCTTTTGAAGTCATCCAAATTACTGACCATCACTACCTCCTGTGGCAGTGAATTCCAAGGTTAACTGCATATTCCTTATCAATCTCCCATGTTCACAATGAATGCCTCACTATATTCCTTGACCGGATGCCAGCATAGTTTTCCAAGTGACTCAGCAAGGTCTGGTGTCTCAAAATGTGAAATGTTGCTGAGGGATTGAGAAGAACCAACAAGAAAGATGGTACTATCAGCTGGACAAAACCTTATTTGTACTAATTTTTGCATCCCCAGAGGGGGGCAGGGGACAAGCCTTTATCCATGAAGATGTACACTGATAACAACTGGTTTTGTGCTGGCAGATGCCCATCATTTTTACTTTTGCTTCTGTCAACTTCTGCAAATCACACATTAGATTCGTAAGTAAGAATGCAGAAGTATTCAAATATTAGGGTGCAAAACATATCTGAAAAATATGAAAATCTTCATACTGTCATATGTAGTGCCATGTCTAATTTGATCTCTCAGATTTGAATCCTAACCCTAATCCTGTGCAAAATAAAATGTGCTTAAACCCTGTTGATGATAACAGGGTTAAGTTGTAACTCTATGTACATTTAGAAAGAAAGTCCCACAACTCCCAGCATTCCTCAGCCAGAATGGTAGGAGTTGTAGTACTTTCATCTATCTGAAGTTGCACAGGATTGCACCCTTAGCTTTGCAGATTAGAAGGTAAGCCTCAAAAGTATCAGCAGTAGTGTTTTTGTTATTATGTCAATAATGTGTTGCTACAAAAAACAAATACTTATTTTGTCACATTAGATTTACAGAAATGTATCTATGTTTTTATTATAATGGATAATGGGAAAATGAATAAAACTTTATGTGGTGAAAATAAAGAAAGCTAAATAAACACATGCATTGGAAAAAGAAAAATACTCTACCAGCATTCCTATCCCCCAATCTTTAGTTGCTAGGGGAACAAGAAGAAAAAGCTCTCAGGGGCATTCCCCCACCACCACCCGGTTCCCCTGTAACAAATAAAAATCGAGCCTACAGAAAAGAGATGATCTAGCACTCACACATCCCTCCTGAAGAAAAGATTTCCCAACACAGGCTGCTGGAATCCTCAAGAAGCCTGACCTCGTGAGGACTACCGCTAAATACCCAGGCTCGACCTCATCCACCTTTGCTGAACCCGAGAAGTGAAACTCCCCTTCCCCGGAATTTTATGTTGGGCAGAGCGAAGGGAACACAGATTCTACCGATCCTCCCGCTTGGAAAGGCGCGGCTTTCTAATTCAGGCAGCCCCCACCTGCTCGTTTAACACTTACCCAGAGTAGCGGTAACTCCCCGGAAACCTCTGACAGGCAGGTTTGAAGCGCGCCTGCGCCGCATTGCATCAACAAAAAAAAAATCCAAAAAAGCTTCACGCTCAGGACGCTCACTGCGCGTGCTCAACCAACAGGGCCAGTTCCGCGATTCAGTGCGCATGCGCTTGTAGATTACAACACCTGCTTTTATGTCTCCTCGACTGCCGGCCCCTCCTTCTGTTTCTGGCCCCATTCAAAAGCAACGAGGCGTAGCCAAATTGGGCTGTTCGTGGAAAACGCGCGCTTGTACACGTTCAGCCTCAATTTCAGACGTTTGCTGTCGGTTTTAAGGGGCCTCGCACCCATGGATCTTTTTGCTGTTCTGTAAACATTTGGTTATAAGCTTGGCTGAATAACCTAATGCTCGGTGTTAAATAATTCGATTTCATTTGACGGGAAGGGCACCATATTTTTGCTTTGGAGTTTAGTTTAGCAACTGGATGAGATACAGAGCTACTGGGCGGGGATTGGCAATAAGGAGATAAGGTTTGCTTCATTTGCTGTATTTCTGTCACGTAGCTGTAAAACACATCAGTATCGTGCCATACAAGGAAATGAGTCAGTCCTACCTCACCCCAACCTGTAGGGTAACTGCAGGAGCATTCCTAATATTTTTTCTGCCCTCCTGCCCTCTCGAGTTATTGGAATTAATAGGAATTGTATAGCTAGTGTAATGCAGTTCATACTGGCTAGCACTAGCACCAATCAGATATGCATAATGGTTCCAGGTACAATCCAGGTACATTACATTGGCTCCAGGTACAACCATATACGGGACTGCAGGTGGCACAGTGGTTTAAACTGCTGTGCTGCTGGGCTGGTAGATGGAAAGGTCGCTGGTTCGAATCTGCACAACTGGGTGAGTTCCCCTTGCTCTGTCCCAGCTCCTGCCAACCTTGCAGTTCGAAAGCATGCAAATGCAAGTAGATAAAAAGGTACCACTTTGGTGGGCAGGTAACAGCATTCCGTGCACCTCGGTGTTTAGTCATGCCAGCCACATGACCACAGAGACTGTGGACAAATGCTGGCTCTCTCAGCTAGGAAATGGAGATGAGCACCGCCCCCTAGAGTCAGGCATGACTGGACTTAATGTCAAGGGGAAACCTTTACCTTTACCTTACAACCATATACAAGTTTAGACAAAATGTCTGCAAGCTTCTAAAATAAAGAGTTGTAGGACTCTTTCTGGACTAGCCACATACTCAGCATTCCTAAGTGCAGATCTGTCCAGAGTTGTTCATTAACATTACAAAAACAGAATTCCTCTGAAGCAGTAGTGTCTGAAATAAAGGGCATGCATTATGTTGTACCTTTCCCTGGTGGCACTTCTCCGTATTATCCATCGCATTTGTATTTTATGCACAATTATATCTACATTTTAAGTGTTTCAGCTAGAAGAAATAGCAAAGCAATAACAAATTGGTACAGCACATATAAATGTTGACAAGGTGCTTCAAGTTAAGAAGCTGGAATAATGGATACCTGACCTCTCAGGAAGGTTTTGAAATTATTCATAAATAAAGCTAACAGTACTATAGAACTATCAGTATTGAACTTGTGCACTGCCTTATACTATCCATCTTTATTTAAAAAATACCACTAAGTTGAACAGTTTACTTCCAAGTCTGTGTACATAAGATTCAAGCTGTATATCCTAAAACTGCAGTCCTATTTATTACATTTACAGTGTGCCCTTGTTCCATAGTACCTAGGGTGAGGTACATAGGGTCTCCAGGTGTTCACTAATCTAGGAATTAATCAGATTTAGATCTAGTGCTTCAAGAATGTTCAGCTATTTCTGTACAACCTAGCAGTTGTAGCTGGAGTGTAAATACATTAAAGCTGCAATCTTGTACCCATTAACCTGGAACAATGAACTCAGTGGACTTGCTTCTGAATAGACAAAGCCTTGGCTGTTGATTTTGGCTGTTTCGCAACTGTGAGAGGCTTAGCATGTTTACGTATCAGAATGCAGTTCTAACCTATGTACAGCAGAGATCTCATCAATTCCTACAACTGTATGAATGTTTATAATTAATATTGTAGGACTATATATAAAAGAACAGCTACATATTTTTAGAACACAGAGGCAAGCAAATCAGCTTTTAATTAAAAAGAGATTAAACCCCAGTGAAGCACTGCAAAGGACTGAAAACAAAGGCTATGAGTCCCAGTTCTAAATAATCCTTCAGAGCTGTTCACCATTGTTAAGCTGTTCTGCCAGTGCTCCTCAGATCTTAAAATAGGCTAGGATGTAAAAGTACTTCAGGTGATGGAGGAAGCTCAGAGAATGAAAGCTGTTTCATACATAGGTGCTGTTAGAAGGCAGGTGGTGAATCTGGAGAAAAGCAGGCTGATCAACAGGTTGAATTTTAGAATATAGTATTCCTAATCTACCTACTCTTGTCCCATGGATTTATGATAAGGTATGAAACTGTCTTTTCCATTAAGGTAAGGAATTTGTTTCAAGAGATAAATAGATGAGTATTAGAAACTTTGGCCTGTGATAAATTATTTATTGAATGTACTGACACGTGTTGCTTTGAGATAATGCAATCCTAAGCAATGGGCATTAAGATATGCATTGTGAAGGCAAATGATGCCAAGGCTAGTTTTTATTTATTACTGCGGATCATTTCCAGTTTCCACTCATTTATTTTGATTGCCTTGCATAAATATTAGCTTTAATTTAATGTGTAGGAGTTAACATAATTGTACTCAGTTGGGATCTACTTGTTGGTATAAATAGCACGTGTCTATCTATTCCTGTCAAGGTATGAACCATTTCCATTGGGTAGGAAGTGTTTGTGGGGCTGGTCCAATTTGTTGGTGTTAACTAGAAAATCTAGTTTGGTAACATTTTTTCAATGGCTTATGTACAACAGTATAGTTAAGAGGATGACCTGGATGTTAGCTGTGGGAGTTCTGGGCTAACACTGAAGTAAGTAAAGATTTAAGTGGAGTTCAGCAAATTATGATTGCTTTGACTTTGTTTTCTGTTTTCATTTCCTGAAAAGGGACATTTTAATATTAATCTCCTAATAGTAGTCTAAAGAGGTTCAGTCCCAGGAACAGCTTTACTTTATTAGTATAATGAATAGGCCACAAAGGATTAAAATATACATTGGAAGATCCTACACATTATAATAAGTATACCAGTATCTTTCTTTTCTGTTTTACTTGGCATGGAGTTTTCTAGTGTTTAAAATGTTCTGTACTGGTTTCCAATAAAATGCTTAAGTAATTGCACTTGAAGCTGTTGTGTGGTAGTTGTGTGGCACGACCATTGTAAAGAAGAAATCTGATCATATTACACTAATCCAGCAGCACTACTAAGTGGTTGTGTCTCATTCAGGCCTTGTTCACAATCTGCAATTTGTGTGGTGCGCTCACTATGTTTCATCTGTAACAAACTGAGCCTCAGAAGTTTGCTGCCTAGTGGAATATAATGACCAAGAAAAAAGGCCAATTGGAATTAGTAGGACGGGGAGTAATTTACATAATGTAACATTGTTTTCTCAAGATACTGTAGGTGAACAGGCATTTATTTATTTAGTTGGAATATTTTTATCCTGTCCTACACAATCCAAATGTCCCAGGAGAGCTTACATTATAAATAAACAAATACACAAATAATCAAAAATAAAATAACAAAATGTGACTGAGAATATAATAACTTTATATTTAACTAATTAACTTTAGGAATGGTGGGGAAGGGTCCCTTGACACAACATTATCTTGAGAGAACTCATTGGTTTTGATGTGAAATTTTGGGCAGTGGGAAAAGAATACATTATGAGTATTAAAAATGCTGTTAAGAAATTAACATTAAGTGGATTTTGGAACTGTGCAGGAGGGCTGAATGAGACGTTAACACTCCTTCTTTTGCTACAAGTTGCTCCTTTTCTGTATTATTTAGAAACAGAAACAGAGCGAGTCAGAAGGGGCCTCCTGGGCCATCTAGTCTGACCTCCGGCACCAGCCGGCTCCACTCACGACATGCCCACCATGTGGACTTCCAGCCTATCCTTGAACACCCACACTGATGGGGCCTCAACGACCTCTCATGGAAGCCCATTCCACACCCTCAGGGTCCTGACTGTCAGGAAGTGCTTCCTGACATCCAAATGGAACCTTGGCTCCCTGAGTTTTGCTCCGTTGGAGCATGTCCTGCCATCCTCTGCAGGGGAGAACAGGTCTCTACCCATCTCCATGTGACATCTCCTCACATACCTGTACGTCGCCAACAGATCCCCTCTGAGTCTCCTCTTCTCCAGGCTGAAGAAACCCAGTTCCCTCCGTCTCGCCTCATATGGCATCCCCCGCAAACTGGCCACCAACCTTGTGGCCCTACGCTGCGCTGATTCCAACCTGGCTATATCCTTTCTGAAATGAGGGGCCCAAAACTGAACACAATACTCCAATTGCGGGCGCACCAGAGTCGTGTAGAGTGGTAGTAATACCTCTCTTGATCTCGAAGCCACACTTCTGGCTATGCAACCAAGGGTGGCGTTCGCCCTCTTGACCACCGCATCACACTGCTGACTCATGTTTAGTCTGCAGTCAACCAGTACTCTGAGGTCCCTTTCACAAGTGCTGCTCTCCAGCCACTTGTCACCTAACCTATACTTAAGACACCCATTCCTATGCCCCAGGACCTTGCAATTATCCACATTGAACGCCATCCTGTTGTCTCCTGCCCACTTCCATAGTCTGTCCAGAGCCTTTTGGATCTGGAGTACCTGCTCCTCAGTTGTGGCCACTGCTCCAGTTTTAGTGTTGTCTGCGAATTTGATCAGCAGACTGTTCACCCCTTCTTCCATGTCGTTAATGAAAAGATTAAACAGGATCGGCCCCGGGACGGAGCCCTGGGGGACCCCGCTTGTCACTGGCCTCCATCC